TGAGTCATGGTACGAGGGTAAAGCCCTGTGCGTCTGATGTGTGTGTTAACACATTGAGTCAGCAGTGTCGTCCTGCATTAGAGGAGCTGTTGGTGTATGACTGTCCTACCGCAGTTGAATTCATCTTTGATGAATAGCTTTTGCTATTTCTGTGATATGGAACAGTGAGCACCAGCTCTTCTGCGGTTTCTTCCTCGCTCGGCTGCGTCTCTCGTCAGAGGCTACAGCAGGTGATTCTGGATGTGCTGCTGGGAGATCAGGGTCGGCGCTTCCTCCACCCGAGGATGAGGGTCAGCTGCACAGATCTGTCAACATCTCTGTCTGCTCGCCACCTCTCATTGCTGACAGCAGTCTGAGCTACCATTAGGGATTAACCAGACCACCCTACTGTGTCTGAGCCATTACACTATAAGCTCTTTATACATGTCTGTGCATAAGGGGGAAAGGAAAGACAATTTCCTTTGCTATTTCCACCTCTATTGGTGCTGATCCTTAAATTAAAACTTCAAGATAGCAGAGTGATTTGGTGTTTGTTTACTTTAGGGCTGTTAATTTAGTTTGTCAAACACATACAGTAATGATCCTTGCACACTGAGTCTGAAATGTTTGTATGCTTTTTTCGTATTTGTCATCCTTTCCTATCAAAATGCTTGTTAAGGATGCGAAAATGCAGAAGATCGAACCTGATCTGAATTTTTTTATGACGGATGAAAGTTTCGGAGGCAGTGTGTAAACGTGATTTGACACAACATGAGGTTGTATTTAGTTTTTAACGTGCGAAAATTTCAGACGAGAATTTCGGACTCAGTGTGCAAAAGACCTTAAGCTGATAATTATTTTCATGCTATGACAATAACTGATATTAAAGTTCTGTGCTATTGTCTCTAAATAAGTAAAAAATGTTTTGAATTTAAATTGAATTTTTAATCAAAATGGCAATCTTCTGGTGAAACGACCAGAAGATTTTCTCTGGTGATGTACAGTATGCAGGACTTCACCAATCATTTAGGCCGAATAAACCCTGACTCTTTCATCGTGTTGTTAAACAGTAGCTTTAAGTGGGCATTAGATAACAACAAAGGTAATGTAATTTATATAAAAGTAGAAGAAACTATACATGTAAAAAAAAAAGTAGTCTCTTATGCTCACCAAGGCTACATTTATTTGATCAAAAGTAAAGTCAAATTGTTAAATAATATTACTATTTACAAGTATTGTTTCCTATGATAATGTATTTTAAAATGTAATTTATTCCTGTGATGCAAAGCTACATTTCCAGCAGTCGTTACTCCAGTCTTCAATGTCACATGATCCTTCAGAAATCACTTTAAAGGGTTAGTTCACCCAAAAATGAAAATTCTGTCATTGATTACTCACCCTCGTGTTGTTCGAAACACGTAAGACCTTCATTCATCTTTGGAACACAATTTAAGATATTTTTGATTAAATATGAGGGCTCTCTGACCCTCCCATAGACAGCAAGGTAACTACCACGTTCAAGGTCCAGAAAAGTACCAAGATGATCGACAAAGTAGTCCGTGTGACATCAGTGATTCAACTGTAAAGTTACGAAGCTACGAGAATACTTTTTTGCACAAAGAAAACAAAAATAACGACTTTATTCCGCATTTTCATCTCTACTGCGTGATGATGTCAACACGCCGGATCTGGGTCAGCGCCGCCACACGCTCGTGTCATGGTACTGTCATGAACTCGCGTCCAAAGTGACGCAGTAGAGATGAAAATACGGAATTATTTTTCGTTATTTTAGTTTTCTTTGCTCAAAGTATTCTCGTAGCTTCGTAACTTTACAGTTGAACCACTGATGTCACACAGACTACTTTGTCGATCATCTTGGTACTTTTCTGGACCTTGAACGTGGTAGTTACCTTGCTGTCTATGGGAGGGTCAGAGAGCCCTCAGATTAGTGTTGGCACGGTACTCAAATTTCAGTATTCGGTACCCACGGAATTTGTCGATCATCTTGGTACTTTTCTGGACCTTGAACGTGGTAGTTACCTTGCTGTCTATGGGCGGGTCAGAGAGCCCTCAGATTTCATCAAAAATATCTTAAATTGTGTTCCGAAGATGAACGAAGGTCTTACGGGTTTGGAACAACACGAGGGTGAGTAAATAATGACAGAATTTTCATTTTTGGGTGAACTAACCCTTTAAGATGTTGATTTGTTTTTAAGAAACATTTCTTATTATCATGTAGAAAACATCGCAAAACAAAACCATTTTGTCCGGATTATTTGATGCATAGGAAGTTCACTATATTATAAATGACATTACGGTCACTTTTAATCAATGTAATGCATCTTTGCTGTGTAAAAGTATTAATTTTTTCAAAAATAACAAAAATCTTACTGACCACAAAGTTTTGAACGGCGCTATATCTTGAACTTAATTCTGTGGAACAAAAAATATGTTAGGCATAATGCACTCTGTTAGGCAGTCTGTTCCAAACATAAAGCTATCAAAAGGCTTCAGAAGGGTTGTAATATAGTGAACACATCATATGGACTGGTTTTATGGCTTTTTTTCAGACTTTTACCCAAAGACATATGTGTCTTGAAACAACATTGAGTTTTTTTTCCAGCATGAGTTTTTCTTAACATAATATTTTTTCCTTTCATATTTGCCAATTATTACATCATTCAGATGATTCATTTTCTTGCTCCGTATATTTATAGAAGTCAAACCTACTATTCAGTGGGCAGCCCATGCTGATAGCTACAGGATAGCTTCAGTTACATCAGCACTGAAAAATTCACTTCACAGCAGTAGCGAGCCAAACAAATTTATTGCTGTTATATCCAACATAGAGAACCAGATACGTCATTGCAGCAAATACAGACCTGCTTGTCAGACGCTTGTTTTTACGGGGATATGAATGAGTATTTGGAGTCGTGATAAGATAAAATATACTTTTTTTTACTTTTGAGTTCTGCAGATCCTACTCATTCATTTGTTCTTTATTCAAAATGAATGAACCAGATCTAGTCACAGCCAAAACATGGGAGTCTTTCTCCTAACCATTGTTTGTTCTCTAGCCATAGTGATATGACTTACGAATCCCCACCTCTAGTGCAATATTCACAGGATTTAGCGTGGCTAACAGTCTTGGATGAGTGATAAGATTATTACGAAATGGGAAACTGGAAATATTTACGCCTTTCTCATTGCAAATGAATTCCACTCAGGCTCTGAACCACAAGCTTGGCTAGCCAACTCGACTCAAACTAACCCCAAAAGAACTCGCTTCCTTCTACACCCACTGGCTGAACCCCCACCTCTTGACCCACCAGTGATACCAGCTCTCTCTAACCAGCGGCCTGGAGACTCCTCTTGGTAATTGGGTCTGAAGTCTTGCGTAACAGCTATATCCCACGGTTGAGCTGGCTGAGATGCGGAGAGTGAGCCAAATTCACTCAGTTCCCCTTTACAAAAGAAACCAAAACACCCTCAGAAAAAAACTACATATTTTTAAAATCAACTAGTTGTATTTAATCATATATGTATTGAGCCATTTAAAATTATATAGGCTGTTTCAGATTCTTATGACCCTGATTATGCTTTTGAGGGCATTTACATAAGAATCACAGTTGTGTTGTAAAAGAAAAAAGATGGAGAGCAATGAAATGGAACCGGATACTTTTTTTTGACTGTAAATTGGACTATTTTTTTTATGTGACACTGAGTAAAAGCAAAAAGACAAGACAAAGACACAACCTAATGGCAAATGTCCATCTGATTGTGTAATAAGGCTGAGTATCCATACAGATTCCCTGTTTTGATTCTGATTCACAGGCTCTTAGTTCAGCTCTATTCGAAGAGATTCTGATTAATTTGGGTATATTTCTGTTTGTTTGTTTTTTTGCTTAAGAATCAGACTGCACAATTTGTACTATGTATTTTTTAAATAACTTAAAAGAACTTATTTGTAAGAGTAATTTATTCATGATTCAGACTACATAGTTTATACTGTATTTTTTGATTCTCTAAAAGGAACTGGTTCGTAAGAGTCATTTGTTCATGAATCAGACTACACAGTTTGTACTGTATATTTTTTGATTCACTTAACAGAACTGATTCGTAAGAGTCCGTGAACATGAATCAGACTACCTTAGTCATGCTGAATGTTTTTGATTCACTGAAAATAAGTGGTTCATAAGAGTTTATTTATTCATGAATAAATACATTTTTGGCTGAACAAGCGGTCCTGCGCAAATGAATCGAGTTGTTTAAAAGAAAAACACCTTCATAGGGCTACAGTAACTGACAGCCCCAGCAGTAGTGGATAAAGAGCTCAAGCTTCAGGTTTCTCACGGTCTAGACCTGCCGCAGCGGAAAGTGTTTTGAAATAATGGCTCAATCTCCAAGTTGTCTGGCTTCTCATCAGGTCAGCGCTTCTTTCCTATGGCACGCAAACATTCCCCAAAGACTTGCATGAGCTTTTCATTCGCACTTTTCTAAGCTTAGAAAGCCAGGAAATGAGATCAGCTGGATGAGTTTTAATTGGAGATTGTCATTCTCTCTGGAACAGAGACTACTGGCTGCTTCTCATACCAGCATTCAGTCTAGCTCTCTTTTTATTCTCAGTCTTTCACTCTTTCTTTCATCCCTGGATAGAGCTCGTGAATTTTGTGAAGTTAAGACACCCTGGGAATTGTCACACAATATCCTCCTAGCAGCGCGAGAGAGCGGTTCACATAAGAGGACTCTGTTTTCCGTTCAGCGCCAGACTTTTGATTTGGCCATTACTGCTTTCTGGAGGCATACAGTAGAAACCCGTTTGTATCGATGCTGTGCAGAAGGATGTTTTCAGAGATTAGAATAGCTTCAGGTGGAGAAATAAAAACAGAAAAGGGAAGAATTTGAGCTTGAACTGTGTAATGAATGAGCAGTGACCTTTGATTTGTGTGGAAAGACTGTAACGTTAGTTCCTGTGTTTGCACAGTGTGACAGTCTCTAAAACCGGCTCTCTGTTTTCCCAGGTCTTTAAGGGTGAATTTCAGCTACCTGATTTTCTTAAAGAACAAACACAGGTATGGTAGATATTCTGCCTGTCCTTAAGCTCTTCATAAATTGCTTTTTTAAATTGAATTTGTTCTTCCTTTTTTTTCCTGTAAATAAAACGGTGGTCATTTAATTCCCATCTGCTTCCACTCACTCGGATTCTTTGCTCTTCACGTAATTTCTGACCATAACGCTGGTTAATGCGGTGTCCTGTGCTCCTCTGATCTCATGTTTTCATTTTTTTGATATGATCACATTAGCTGTAGATCTTTGGCCTCATTTCAAACGCTCTTTCGTAGTCGTAGGCTGTTCTGCTGACTAGAAGTCCTATACTGCCCCCTCTTGGACAGATGATGGGAATGTTTTTGGGTGATTTCGTAGGAGTAAAAAGAGTAACTGATTTTATAAGGAAATGAACAAATCATGGCAGGTTTACAACTTATGTTTACAACTTCAATTAATATTTTAATTATGTTTTTAGTAGGCTACAGTGAAAATGACAAATAAATATAAAAAAAAAAAATCAAACAACGATAAGGAAATGAACAAATCATGGCAGGTTTACAACTTATGTTTACAACTTCAATTAATATTTTAATTATGTTTTTAGTAGGCTACAGTGAAAATGACAAATTAAATATAAAAAAAAAAATCAAACAACGTTTTTTTTTATTATATCATATATCAATTCCTCATACAGACTGCATTAAACATATGAAGCCGCCTTAATCATTTGGTAAAGGTGTGCCTTGCAGGAAGATCATCATATTTGTTTTGAAAACCACTAGTTCATAGGGTGTTGAGAAGTTTAAGAGGGTTGGAGTTGCTGTGATTAGAAATCTACGACTAATGTATCCCTAAATACATATGAACATGCACCCTCATCAGAGATCACAAGAAGAAATAAAAGCTAACATCACAACAATACAAATACAGTGAAAACTGTTGATTCATGCATTGCTCTAGGCCGTGTCCACACATGTGTAACAGATGTTTCTCTTATCACAGCTTCAGAAGTCCCCAGAAAAGCCAAACCCAAGTTAGGAGGAGAAGACCAGAGCTTTATCAACAGAAGTGAGTTATTATCATCTTTACTGGCAAACTTTGCTCCCTCTTTGGATCAAATAGTGTTTTGAATCATTAACATGATTTACAGTACAAGAGTCATTTTAAGGGAATGGTGCCAGTTCTGCTAGAAAAATATATTTATAATAATAATAATAACAATTATTATTATTAAAGCAAAACATCTGTGGTTTCCTGAAAATTGCAGAATTTGTTCATCATCATTATGTTGTGACATTATTTGATATTTATGGCATCATATTTAAAGGATTATTCCAGAAATAGGCTTGTATTAAGTCTTAATGTATTTGACCACATGGTTCAAAGACAGAATATTGACCGATTCTTTGATACATTATTTGACACTGGTTGTTATTATTATTAATATTATTATTATAATTATCATCATCATTAATTATTAATAATAATAATAATTTAATAACTCCCTATACAGTATAACACATTAAAATATTATGTTGATAAATGGGAAAACATATTCTACAAATATATGAATGGAAATAAAAGTTGTGCCAGTTGTGCTAGAAAATTATTATTATTGTTGTTATTATTATTAATATTATTATTATTAAAACAAAATGTCTGTGGTTTTCTGACAATTAGCAGAATTTGTTCATCATCATTATGTTGACATTATTTGATATTTCTGGCATCATATTTAAAGTATTATTCCAGAAACAGACTTAAGTCTTAATGTATTTGAACCACGTGGTTCAAAGACATAATATTGACACATTCTTTGATACATTATTTGACATTTAGTATAATTTATTATTAATATGAATATTAATTATTATTGTTATTATTAATAGTAATGATAGTAATTTATTAATAATTTAATATTATATTGTTATAATTTATTAATGTATTATTATTAATAATAATAATAACAACAGTAATAATAATAATAATAATAATATATTTTGTTACCTGTATTTTAATTTTAACTTCCTACAGTATACAACATAACGTATTATGTTGATGAATGGGGAAAAATATTCTGGAAATATATGAATGGAAATAAAAAAAAGCTAAACATTAAAAAATAAAAATATTTGTATAGTTTAATAATACTTTGGCATTTTATATGTAGTCAAATCTATCAAAGAATGTGAGAGTATTCTGTGAATTTGAAGTCATGAAGACACATTTAGCAATCAGACATCTGTTTCCTGAGAATGATTAGTATGTTTTGTGAAAGCATCATAATATTTGCTGCTGTGTTTCAGGGCTGAGTAGAAGCAGATGTCATGGGACCATGATGGACTTGCATCACCCCCAGGCTCATTGACATTTTCTCCATTGGCAGAGAAGCGCACATCGGTGGTGATTGTTGTTGTTTTTACGATTGTTATTTTTGTACTTAAGTGTAAATCATAATTATGTACTCTTTTATTTCTTTCAATGAAATAAACCCTGAGCGCTGTTGGCAGCCAATGTGCTGATATTAGTCACATTCTTATATAGTGGTTACTTTGATGCACTGCACATTTTATGTGCTAGTTCCATTCTTTTATATTTTATACCGTTTAAAATTTGGGAATTGAAGACGAAATGTCTTGTACTCACCAAGACTGCATTGATTTGATCAAAAATACAGTAAAACTGTAATATTGTGAAACATTATTCTGATTTTAAATGTTTATTTAAACGGTTTTCTATTTGAATATATTTTAAAATGTAATTTATTACCTGTGACAGCAAAGCTGAATTTTTAACATTATTGCAGTCTTCAGCGTCACACAAATCATCAGAAATCATTCTAATATGCTGATTTAGTGCTCAGAAACACTTGTGCAGCTTATGTTTGTGCAATCTGTTTTTTCCAGGATTATTTGAAGAATAGAATGTTCAAAGAACAGCATTTATTTGAAATAGAAATATTTTGTAACATTAGAAATGTCTTTATTGTTACCTTTTGTCAATGTAATGCATAAATTGATTTGCTATATATATATATATATATATATATATATATATAGAAGAGATTCAAAATGTACACATTTCAGTTTTTCTGCATATGAAAATGTTTTAATCTTTCGGAACAACTTTTTTTTCCATAATACATGTACATTCAAGGTAAATGATACATCCGTTACAATACATACTTCATTCTGATGTTGGCGTCCAAACAAAAATGTACATATATATTTGAAACGATTAGAAACCAGTGCACAACGTTGATAAGGGACATAACAGTCAACAAGTAACAAAGGTTTCCCACATTCAAATTGTACAGCTCTCCAGGTTAGCACAGTCTCTAAAACCAAAGTAAAAAATAGAGTCTGAAATACAGCTGACAGTAGTGTCCTTATAGAAATCCAGGGCCTTTCTCTTTATTTACAGTGCAATAATACACACATAAAGGAGGATAATAAATGTCTCATTAGAAATTAAAAGAAATTATTTGTCTTTTATACACCTAATCAACAGTCTTGGAGTAGTGGTTTAACATTGCACATGTGTATGACAAGGATGAAGATGTTTTAGAGGCTTTGGTACATGAGCTCCTGTCGGAAGTAAACCTTTCGTAAGGGCTAAAACGTCCTTCGCACTCGCACGCATTCGACAAAAGGAATTGGCAAGATTTGAGGCAGTGACCGATAGTCACATCGTAAGACCACTTCTCCCATCTCTGTCAGCTGCTAGAAAAGTACAGTTGCTTTTTGTTTGGGGGGATTTAGGCTGTTAGGAATAGCATACTAGCATACTACTACTACTGCAGTATACAGTATGCATACTGTGTGAATGGTCTGAATGCGTGAAATACCCTGACGACCAAATGTGTAGCACACTGCATGGAATATAATATCCCACAATGCAAAGTGCTTGCCTTAACAGTCCATTTCCAATATAATATCATTGATTCATTTGAAGAGAATGTCAAAAGTTAACATTTTAACTATAAATAAGCTTTATTTCCAAAATGATGATTGGATGTCACACTGCATACTGCATTTATTTCACATACTATTCAAGAAAATATCATTTGCAGTACTGTGTGAAGTATTCAGTTAGCTAGTCTTCGATTCCAAACAGCCTTAGGCATGAATTACTTGGAAGATGGGGAAGACTGTATGGAAGTGAATTACACTTAAAAATGTGCAACTATTATGCAATGTTTCTTTAACAAGACACATTTGATGATAAACAACCATAGTGTGCTAAAAGCAGGTCAAATTTAGTGACGTTTCTCATTTAAAATCCCATTTTTGAACAGTCAGATCAGATTCAAGTAGTTATTTTTCAGAATTCGAGACATGATCAGAGTTTATCATTTGCAAAACGACAAGTGTGAGTAATCAGTAATAAAGATTGGATATGGAGATATGACAAGATTTACGTATACTACCGTTCAAAAAGATTGTGGTCAGTAAGATTTGTTTTAATATTAAAAAAAAAAAAAAAGTATCTTATGCTTACCAATGCTGCATGTATTTGATTAAAAATAGTAATATTGTGAAATACTATTATCATTTAAAATTATTGGTTTTTATTTGAATATATTTTAAAATGTAATTTAGTCCTGTGATGCAAAGCTGAATTTTCAGCAGCCATTACTCCAGTCTTCAGTGTCACATAATCTTTCAAAACGTCAAAATTTATTTTATTATTAAAGGGGTCATATGATGCGATTAAATTTTTCCTTTCTCTTTGGAGTGTCACAAGCTCTTGGTGCATAAAGAAGATCTGTAAAGTTGCAAAGACTAAAATCTCAAATCCAAAGAGATATTCTTTATAAAAGTTAAGAGTTAACCACGCCTACCTAAAACAGCTCGTTCTAACACGCCTCCACATGTCTATGTCACGATGTGGGAAGATTTGCATAACGCCGCCCAAATGTTCACGCAAAGAAAGAAGGCGTAACTTTGATTCTCGCTGTAGTATTGTTGCTGCCACCATGTTATGGAGATGCTGTGTTTTTCGTTGTGAAAGTGAAATTACTTTGTTTGGTCTTCCAAAAGAGGACACAACTAGAAATCAGTGGTTAAGTTGTATTTACAACACTGTTCCAGAACAGTTCAACCCAAATATTCAGATGTGTGCAGCGCATTTTATGGAGGACTGTATCCTGATCCTGGGAGAGTAGACTACAATGTTCTGACTCACAGAATGTAAGTACGTTTTTCATATTTAAAGGATTTGCCACTGACGATTCAAACGCCAGTTTTGAGCAGTGTAGAGTAGTGCTTGTTGTTTGTCATTTCTCCGATCACAAATGCAGACATGGTTTTATGTTTACGCGGCGCGATGCAACGCAAAGCGTAAAAAGACAGTATAAGTCATTATAATCTGTAATTATGTCCCCACTGGATGCAACAAATGCCTTGTTTATAATGGGTTTTCATGTTTTTGTCTCGTCGCTCCGGCCGGACAGGGCATCACAGTATGGTAAGGGGCGTAACATTTCCGTCACACGTTTGAGGTATTCGGCCAATCACAACGCACTGGATAGCTGGCCAATCAGAGCACACCTCGCTTTTCAGACCGATGAGCTTTGTAAAAATCGACGCAATTCAGAAAGGCAGGGCATAGAGGAGAAACAATAATGTACAGTATGTGGAAAATAATGTGATTTTTTAACCTTAAACCGCATAAACACATTTCATTACACCAAATACACAAAATAATGTTCTTTTTAGCAACATCATATGACCTCTTTAATATTGAAAAGAGTTGTGCTGCTTAATATTTTTATGGAAACCATACATGCATACATTTTCAGGATTCTTTGAAAAATAGAAAGCTTTTATTTGTCTTTTGTAACATTATAAATGTCTTTACTGTCACTTTTGATTAATTTAATGCATCCTTGCAGAATAAAATGATCAAAAATCTTACTGACCCCAAACGTTTGAACAGTAGTGTACAGTATATGCAGTGTGAGTGAACAAAGCCTGAAGTTAGTGAACATCTCAAATGTGACACACCAAAGACTAATTAGTCTCATCACATGGAAGCAGTTTTCTGACCCGTGGAAGAGCCTGGACCCTTTCCAGACTTTAGGACACTGAGGGAAGTGTAGTGACCCCTGATAACACCTGTCAGTGAGGAGCATCACGGGTGTCATGGAGCGACAAGATTCAAAGTGCAAACATATGGACGCAGGTCGTGAAACGTGTTACAAAGGCAACGTCAACTCGAGATCATCGTCGTCATCACCATCAACCGAAACATCGTACAGAAGAAAAGGGGCAATAGAGACGCTAAACGATAAAACGAGGCATATAAATACTAGCACAAGGTTATTGGCACAGCCCTTTTGGTCACACACTGTTTGGACGACTTCTTCGTGGCTTAGTTATTATTTAAGGGAGCTGACCTAACGCAGCCTCGTTTGAGGATTCAAAACTGTGCGGTTTTTATTCATCGTGGAATACTTGCTGTACATTTGGCGGCCATTAGGGAAAGGAAACGGTTCTGCCCCCTGTACGAGGCTTCTCATTTCTTATAAAAGCAGATCTAAAAGGACCTGATCGGTGCAGTGTGTGCTGAAGGCATGTACAGCAAGAAAGGAAAAAACCTCAGTCACAGTGTGCTCAAACACCACGAGCATGCAGACAACGCCAGGGTCTGACACAACAGCATTCTGTGGCAGGCAAACGATATTAAGAGTCGAGACGTCGAGGCAGATCCCGGGCGGTCTCAAGCCTTGAGGAGGAGATTTGGCCAGGTGGGACTCGGTGGGCGGCAGCCTACTCTTATTCTCACTTGTTCTCGATAAGGGTCTGCACCTTGTGTACCAGCTCCCGCGCTATTCGGAGGATGTGCTGCACGTCGTGGCGCTCGGCCATCTCTGTTTGAGAAGAACACAAAGAAAACAATTATTCAATAGACTGATACTTTAACATGGCCACATGCTGCATTTCTGGTTTAAAACTCAGTGTCGTACTGTGATATCTTAAAGCTGAAGTTTGCTGTTTTTTTTATTTTTTGATGTTATGCTTTCTTTGTATAATAGTAAAACATCTCCTACACAGGGTTCTTCAACTAGAGTTCAAAGATCCCCAGGGGGCTGCAAGGAGGTGCTGGAGGGTCAGCAAAAAATCTTTTATAAGGGATAGCAAAGTTAGTGTGTTCATGTAAAATATTAATTTTAAATATATTTTAATTGCATTTTAACAGTTTTTAATATTGCCATTTCATTCTGCTTTCTAAGGACTACATTTGAATGTCATTTATTGAGAAGTGATCCTTTTCAGGTTTATACATCTCATATTACTGTAATACTGTGTAGAAAAAAAGAAAATTTAATTGAAAGTATTTTCTTCCTTTATCTTTTGTAAAATGACAAGATAAAAGGAAATTATTTAATTTAGGAAACAACATTTATAGTAGCAAACTTTACATTATTATTATATATATATATATAGATATTATTTTTTTATTTTTATTTTTTTTGCATAGCAAAAATGTAGCTCACTTTTTGTTTTAGAAGAGGGTAATTTACAAAATGTCATATATGGAGTCCTTGGCATTAAAAACTAAATTCTAAAATATTTACAATAAATACACTATATTTCAATAGTCAGTAACAGTCAGTAAGATTTATAAGTAAATAAATTAATACTTTTATTACGCACATTAAATTCTCCTCACAGGCAACTTCCCCACTGTTCAAAAAAAACCTACATTAAATACTTCACTTATAGATAGCTACAGATTTGTCTCTCTCCTTCCATTCATAGCGAAAACCCTCAAACGAGTTGTTTTCAACCAGGCAACATTTTTTTCTTTCACATAATAACCAACTGGATGCTAACCAGTCAGGTTTCAGGAGTGGCCATTCAACTGAGACTGCGCTTCTGTCAGTCACTGAAGCCTTGCGGATTGTAAAAGCTGATTCCAAATCATCAGTTCTCATTCTGCTAGATCTATCTGCTGCTTTTGACATCCTCCTGTGACTGTCTGCCCTCTCATCACTGGGCATCACAGGGATTCCACTTTGCTGGTTTGAATCCTATCTCACTGGTAGGTCTTTCAGGGTGGCCTGGGGAGGGGAGGTATCCAAAGCACATCAACTGGTCACTGGGGTTCCTCAGGGATCAGTTCTTGGACCCCTCCTCTTCTCCATATACACTACATCACTGGGACCCATCATACAGGTG